ATATAGTTTTTATTGATGCTATAAGCATGAGGAAAGAGCTATATTAGTTTCTATGTACACAAGGAATAAATTGTATGTTGGTGTTTTAGTGCACTTAATGTGTTTTTAACACCGAGGGATAGGATTTGCGGCGCTTTATGCGTTTAAGGTGTCATTGGCACTGAGGTAGAATTAAAAAGGATTCAACATTAAATATTATGTGGTCACTAATTATTCAAGAATTAAATTGGTATATTTGATTGATTGAATAATTTTTGTTGATTGAATGATTATGGTTTGAGAGTTATCACCAAGTTTAATTATCTGTAAATAACGTAAAGTGAAAGAGATTACGCACCTAAACTCTTGGAACGAATATACCTTGAGTATGAACGTGTATATGGGGGGAGTTATGTGACTTTATATTTGATCATAACTTCTACTGGAGTACAGGACACTGTACATTCCTTTTATTATTATTATGCGCAGGAATTCCGCCACCTATGAATGGTTATTGATGCTGGCACGGTTAGCTCCCCTGTCATTAACCTCAATTTATTTGGGGGAGGTTGAATGGGAAACTCGTTCGATGCGTAGTCAACATTAAATAAATAATGTGTGTCTAGTGAGAAATTTTATTGAATGTTGTATGCTTGAAAAACAGGTGCAATGAGGTAAGTTGTGTATTGATAGGAAATTATATGTTAGTGTGTTAATTACGCTTATGTACTCAGCTTTGCTGATTGTGTGTTTTGTGTGTTTGTTGGCCTTGTCTTTATCTTGGCCCTATGATGACCTATTTTTAATGGAGAGTAGTGGAAACAAGTAGAGAGAATTTTTTCAGGTGATGAAGCATATTCATGAATGGGCATGAGTGAAGATCGATTCATGCTAGTTTCTATAAGTATATGATGTGTTTATTGCTTTATTTATTTATGACTTGATTATTATGCGTGACTAACGAAAGATTTTGAGTTCGGTTTGTTTTTAATAAGTGCCTACAATGGTTCCAAGTTGTAGGTTGACTTTATTTTACTTTGTTTGACTTTACTTTCGTTGATTGACTTTTTAAGTTGACTTGTTTTGAATGGTTTTGAAATTAGTCTTCTGCTGTGTGTCTTTGATAGTTGCCTTAGCCGTTTTCATGGAGACAATAATGTCTTAGATATTTCTAGGGTGTTACAGCAGAGCAAGAGTCAGCAGAAGAGCAGAGCAGATTGAAGCAGAGCAGAGCAGAGCAAAGTCGAGCCGAACAGATTTTACTACTACTACTACCATTACTACTACTGCTGCTACATTACTACTACTTCTACTATTGCTACTCCTACTACTCCTACTCCTCCTGCTACTATTTCTACTCCTACTACTCCTCCTCCTCCTCCTACTCCTACTCCTACTACTAGTCTACTACTACCACTACTATTATCACTATTATTATTATCGCATTATTATTAAAATCATTAAATATAATTATTAAATAATAATAATAATAATAATTATTATTATTAAATATTATTTATTTATTATTTTTATTAAAATTAATAATTATTATTATCTTTTAATATTAGTTGTTATCTTTAATTATTAATTTTTATCATAAAAAAAAATCAATTGTTATTAATAATAGTAATTATTATTATTATTATTATTATTATTATTATAATTATTAAATATTATTTATTATTTTTATTAAATATTTATTACTATTATTAAATATTATTTATTTATTATTATTAAATATTAAATATTATTATTATAATAATTCAATATTTAATATTATTTTTAAACAGAGCAAAGTAGTGTAGAGCTGAGCGTATTGAAGCAGAGCAGAGCAGAACAAATTTCAGAATAGCATAGCAGAGTAGGACTCAGCAGAGCAAAGTAGCTCTAAAGAACAGGGCCATACTCTATTAATTTTGAGCCTTTCAAATAAATGTTGTAGTTCAAGTTATTAAAAGTCTTTTGTTATGAGTTTTCTTTCTTATCTTGCAATAATTGGTAGATTTGACAATAATTTTTGTGACTAATAATGTTTCTTGATGAAGGGAGTTAAAATGTTAATTAATACAAGTACTTTTGCCTTTAGTTCTTTAGTGATGCAAAATTTGAGACTAGATCAATGTCTCTAGTCAACTACAATATGAGAATGGTTGGTTTGTATTTATTTTTTGTCTTTTTATTTTTTGTTTTTTTAAATTTTTTTTTTGAAGAGAACAATTGAAGATGAAGCCCCAATTTATTACCATGTTAAACAAAATTCGTTTAGATAAATTGTAAATAAACCAACAAAAAATATCCAGTCATTAGCGTGGCGTATTCTTAATTATATCCACAAGTGGGAGCACATGTATAATAAAAAACTAGATGAAACCCGTGCGATGCACGGTTTGTTTGAATTTTTTAAAATAATTTTTTTATATATATATTTATGTGCTAAAAATTGTTAAATATTTAGATAAAATTCCTGATATTAAAAGATAATATTTTATATTTAATTAATTTAAACTGGATAATCTCATTCTCCAATTTTGCTTACGTGTCAGTTAAATTATTTAATTCTAAAAGAAATTAATAATCTCTTATTTGATTGGCTACCACTAATATTTATTATCCTATGTGGCGCGCTGAAAAAATTAAATCCTACGTGGCTCTCTAAAAACTCGTGAAAAAACTCCCCGATATATATATATATATATATATATATATATATATATATATATATATATATATATATATATTAGATTACTGATTTATTTACCGTTTTGTCATTTGATTAAGGTGGTAAAATTGTATTTTCTCTAATTTTAGACAAAGGTTCAAAACAAAAGAAATATCATGATATATATTGCGGGTCCATGAAAATCCCTTCAAGATACGAAGTGAAATGGTGCAAGATATGAAGAACATATCATTTAAAGTTTGGATTCATATGACTTTATGGACCGCATGATCATTTTTCTTTTCTTTCTTTTCTAGCCGCCCAAATCTCTTAAACATCTTCTGAAATTCTAGAACCCTGAAACTATTACATGGTAGAAGAACTGTTATTTTCATTCTTCTGTCTTACTTATTCTGCTGGAAAATATTGTACATGATGGAACTACTCGATCGTTCATAGGTTCGATTTATATATGTTAATAATGTATCATCCTGTTTTTCATGAAATTATTCAATTTTTGTCCTCAAAACTAAGAATTGTATGTAAAATATGGTATTGATAAGAACAATTTGAAATGAATGGCAATTAAATTGTCTTACTAAGGGCCTGTTCCGATTTAGTGAAAACAACTGAATTGAATTGAACTGAACTGAACTAAATTGATTGAAGTTGAGCTGACCTAAACTGAATAGAGCTGAAATGAATTGTTTATGAGAGAAGGAAATTAGGAATTGAATTGAACTGAAAAGTACAATGAGTGAAGTTTCGATAAAAGTATTGTCACTTGCAATTTACTAGCTTTGGCTTTACATGAAAAATGAGTCAATCTAGTGAGATTGTAGCACTAAGGTAAGATGTCTAATGCCTTACTCCGTATTCTCTTTCTAATATGAGTGCTTCAGTTCCAAAATTAATGCATCGTTTCTATTATTTGACATCAGATTTTATTTTGGAATGTGATATCTAAGATAGATTGTGTAGGCCAATATGGTGGTGGACATGTCATATTTGACCTTATCTCTAGGAAACTCTCAACTATTATTATTTTGTACGTTATTCTTATTCTTATTGTTTTTATGTTTAATTTATTTGTACACCATTGAGATTGTCATTATGAGTCAATCCGTACTTTATTGCAATGTCAATGTAGTATGGACTATCGAGTTCAATTAGTACATGACTTAGGCTCAACCATAGCCCATATTTGTGTCTATTTGATTAAATATCCAAGCTACTACGTCATAAAAAAAATAAGTTTTTGGGATAATCAAGCTATTAGATTCAATCAATTATAAACTTATGATGAAAAACTGAAAATCAAGAATCAAATATAAGCAATTGAGCAGTGACAAAGATGAGTCAAAATTGGTTATTTGAAGGCTTCAAGGAATACGGACATAAAATTTAAGGTGATGCCTTTGCATCTTTAAAAGTCCCATGCATTGCAAAAGGGAAAAAAAGATGAGACTTAAGGACCACTTCTATTTTAGATTCTGTCTTGGAACTATTACATGATCTTAGGAATGTCATAGACAGTTGGTTTGATGTAGTTGATGTCAAACTTGCCTTCAATCATATATAGAAAAAGGACAAGAAATAAAAAGTGCACTAAAATAAAAATAAGATTGTGGAACATGTTCGAGCATATAAGGAAGTCGTTCTTCACGAAATGTGCATCTTTTTATCTAGGGGGATTTACGGATTTACCCAAGTACCACTAAGGTTAAAAAATAAATAGGTTACGCATTCCTAATCCCGTACAAGGTGTAATTTGTTGAAAGGAATAACTAAATAAGTAATTTCACTAGGCACTATGATAGTAAAAGTATTATTTATTTTTTATGGGGTTCATCTAGGTTATTTGTGTTCATTTTAAAAAAAATTAAAGTAGGTAAACTCGAGGTTTACAAAAATTCAATTTCGTGTACATCATTGTATATTTCAAAATCAATTGGTGAAGTTTCGCTTTTTTTGTGGGTAGTTAGATTCTAGATGGGTAAGGGGATGGGGGAGAGGGCTTATGAAATCTTCAAGCCACAACTAGGTTGATGAGAAGTTGACAATACTGCCATTGTACCACCAAAAGCTTCGTTTTTAACTAAGGGCCTTTTCTAGTTCATCTTAATTTCAATTCAATTCAACTCCAATCATTTCATTTCAATTCTTAATTTCCTTCTCTCACAAACAATTCATTTAATCTCTATTCAATTCAATTTAGTTCAACCCTAATTAGTTCAAGTCAGGTCAGTTCAATTCAGTTTAACATCAGAATAAGTTCTAAGTACGAAACTCATTGATGGAAACAAATTTCATCCATTCAATTTTCTATCTCTAAAACGATGCATAGTTATGATTTGAAAGCAAGATGTATATGTTGACAAATCTCAATATTTCATTCATATAAGTAGATAGAAAAAAACAAATCATAACTCAATCATATGGATGAAAGGGGGGCACACCATCGGCTCAACCCAAACTATTCCTATTAAGTATAAAGAAATAACAAGACAAAAGGCAAGCTGACAAACTTTCTAGTCCAACAAAAAAAAACAAAACCCAAAGAAATGAAACGACAAAAAAGTGCCAAGGAATGGGCATATTAAAAAGCCAAAACGCCTCACATTTGGTATGGGCTCCTACACACGTCTTATTTGGATGATTCCTCTTATGCTATATTGGATGGAGTTGGCCTACTACCTCCACTTAGTTTAACTGTACGGATTTGTGTGTGTGTGCGCGCGCGCGTGCGTGTGCGCCGTTCTAGCCGTCACAGACTTCCCGTTTTTTATACTGATACCCATGGTACGGCTCTTTACAAGCCTGATAGCAACGTTTCTATTGCCCCCCTAAAAACAATGAACAATTTTTTTTTTCTTTTTTATTTTGTTTTCTGTATCAGGCCGTGTTCAAATCTGTAAAGGCGGCAAACTAGGGGCAGTGTTGAATGTATCATTGTATATTTATAATTAAGGTACGGTGTTGCCTAGTGAGAAGCAGTCGCCATGGCTGCAATAGGTACTGCACTCGGAATGACAGTAGTTCCAGATGTTTTCGGAATACTTTGAACACTGGTGTTTCTGTACAGGAATTGCCTCACGATCATGGCACTCGGACCTACAACGAGTCTCTGCCATGCTTCTTGAGCGTCTTTTCCTTGCTTTAGAAATACTTCTGTTGCATCAATATGATGCAGGTTCCATCCCCAGAAGTCTCTTAAGCGATGAATTTTCTGAAGTTGTCGACAAGCTAGCTTACACGTATTGTCTTTGATTTCATCAATGGCTACTTGGAGCAGAGTCTCCAACATTTCAGGTTCCACATTTTGCCCTTCTGCTCGAAGAAAACTGTCCAATTCAGGGACACCAATGGCTCGTCGTATTCCCTGTGTGTAGTCGGCTTCAGGGTCGAATATTCCTCTTACCTCATCCACCAATCCTGCTTTAACCATCTGATCAACGCGCTCTGATACAAAGCATTGGAGAATAGGTAGAGATAAGTCAACCCAAAGGAAGCAACACTCGTACTTTGAAGTGAAGTCAGGATGATCATTCACTAAAGACTCAATGAACGAGTTCGATCCACCTGCTATAATCGGGAGCTTGTCCTGTTCGATGATGGATTCAATTGCAAGCAACGCATCATTCCGGAAATCTTTAGCATTATATTCAACATCAGGATCGATTATCCCTAACATATGATGAGGGACACCCCTACACTCTTCTTCTGTCACTTTGTTCGTGACAATATCCAGCCCTTTGTACACTTGAATCTTATCAGAGTTTATAATCTCGGCCTGAAGTTGAATTGCCAAGTCAATTGACAGTTTCGACTTCCCTGTACCTGTTGCACCCATTACAACCACCACTTTGTCCTTGTGATTATTATTGTGGAAGTTCATAGAACTCGAGTTAAGCCCTCCAGGAAAGAGGGTTTGTGCGTGCTTACAGAATGAGTATGACGGACTCATGATGACACTGATTAATAATATCCTGCAAATATGTATACTACTATCGAGTTATACTATATGTCGTAGTAGTATAAGTATAAGTGATTATTATTATTTCTGTACGTGGAAGGGTGAGTTTGAGGATGGACAAAAAATGGCTGAACAAATAATCAGAGTACAATGCCAATGACAACCCTGCTATTTATACTGATTTTTGTGGCTACTATAACAAAATACCCCACAACTTTTTGTAACTTTTTAGTTTCAGATGCGGCTACTAGGAGTGCTAATGAACATGTAACAACTGTGTTTATTTTTTTATTTTTTGGAGGAAGTTGAAGGGGAATGAGAGGAAATGGAAAGCTAGGCTGTTATGTTTTTGCAAAAAGCTATGGCTATTGTGAATATTTGGAGTTAGTGAAAGTCAGAGTTTGTGTTTTGGAGTATATGCAGAGCGAACAACTCTGTCGAATTCTTACCTTAAGACACCAGAGTCGTTTCTGATATTTTATGGGCCCTAGGCGAAACAAGAGATGACAACGGAATGCAGAGAAAAAAGACAAACTAAACTGAATAAAGGATCGCTCGGTCACTTTTTTGTTATACCTCCCTCTTATTTTTACAGTTGTAAAGACAAGGAAGATGAGGAGGGCTTTTGAAGGTTTTGTTAACAATGAAAATGACACAAGATTATACAATGAAAGAAGAGCAACTCTGGGTATTTATGGTGGGTTGGTCTAGGCTTAAAACTTTCATCATGAATTTTTTTTAAAAAAAATATAAACTTTCATGCAGATTCTGTTAAGCTCAAGCCTTATCATGACACATTGCAAATATAGAGTATAATTTTTTTTACAATTTCATGTTATCTTCATCTTTAGAATATTGTTTGATTAGACAAATTACAAACCACTTGAACTTTAAGGATGCTATTTGGGACCTACTTCAGTGGAAGTGGTGGCCTTCTTTAATATGAATTGAATCCTCAACTTCTTAAGTGGAAGTTTATTAATTATTAGTTTAAACTAATGACATTTTTATGGAAGAAATGCTACAAATTGATGCTATTTGGTACCTATAAACGCCCCCTCTTCTAAAAGTAGAGGTCACTGGTTTTAAGTGTGTGTGCTCTGCATCTTTATAATATTACAAATTATGTCAGAATCAAACCTTAAGATATCTTATTCTAGTTATCTATGTTTAATCAAGCTATCTTCTAAGCAGTATTTTAAAGCAATATGTGCTAAACGACATATTTTGAAAACTTTTGACAGGATTATTACATATTTGGAAATGCTCGCGTAAATATGAACAGTAGTAGTCTAGGTCTTGCATACAACAGGTATATCGACTTTTATTTTGAACCATTATATTTGGAAATACAGTCTCATATTGTACCTTACTGTCCTATAGTAGCTTCCTAAGGTCGAGTCAACGAAAGATCATTGACCTGGCTGAACACTTCAAACAGGATAGGGGCACCATACACCATTGATATAATTTTTTTAAAATTTACATTTGTTTTTTCTTTATTATTGTGGGGTATATTTCCAAAAGGAGAATATATATTGCTAAAAGACATTTTTTATTTTTTTTTAATTTCTAGAAAATTTCCTAACTTTAAAAAGTTAAATAATTATTTATAAGTTTGTGATAAAAGAATCAGCTTTAGTAGGGAATCTGAGATGGGAAGTTGTATTCTTTATGAAAATGCACAAAAATGACTTTGATCTATAAGGCTTCCATATATACTGAAATGATAATATAGAAAATCCAGAAAGTTTATGTTGTCCGTGGAATTTGGATCCTCTCTTAGTCTAACATAAGTCAGCCTTAAATTAGCACTAGATTTTGTTGTGCTAATTTTATTTAATGTTTGTGGTCAAAAGTTTACTAATGATATTCAGAATATTTGTTCAAGGTCTCAAGCTTATAATACAAGAGAAGAAAGAATTTAGATGAATATGTTATGGTTTAAGGTAGTTGAATTGGATGCTCATAACTTATTAACTGAAGTATTAAGGAATACTACTCCTAGTTTCTAAAGCCTCTCTTCATGTGTTTGGAATCTAAACACTATTTACAAGTAAAGAGAATGATTGAAAATTTTACAATATACACTACTCATACAGGTAAAGAGATTGTCCGCTCTAGTAGACATGAGAAGTTTGTTGTTGGTCAAATAACATTTATCCCGTGAAGGTTTTATATATTGAGCGGAAATTTTAATTAAAGTGAGATGTCAAATCTGAATGAAAATGCTTGAATTAAGCTATTACGCCAAAGGTTAATAATTAAAGTGCATAGGCATTGCATGCATAAGCAAGAGTTTGAGGACATTTGGAAGGAACTCTCTTTGAACTGCCAGATTAGAATACACAACAATAACACAATCTAAGGACTATAGACGTACTATAGTTTGAAAGGGGCGTATATTACGTGCATGGATTTGACACTAGAACTATGGAGCATGAATTTGGTGGTGTTAAGGTTTCTAATGTCAATATATGTTTACGGGCCTGTTTTCATATACTTAGCTGCACTGAACTGAACTGAACTGAACTGAACTAACCTAAACTGAGCTGAACTGAATTGTTTATGAGAGAAGAAAATTAGGAATTGAACTGAAATTAAGCTGAAGAGACCAGACCTTACTTCTCTCATATAGGTTGTTGACATCGATCTCTTTGACTTCTTCAAATAGAAAAGATATGCCTAAATCCTAATAAGCTTGAATATAAATTCTTAATCTTCACTTGAGCTAAGGTTCTCCCTAGTAAGCATATAAGTATATAACCGATGTAATTTAGCTCTCTTACAACAAATCAGTATGTGCTTGTTTGGTTCACCCAGAATAAATATTTTCATGACAGTGGCTTTTTTTTTTTTTTTTTTTTTCAATTCCTATGTAATTTCGCAAAATAAACGATATTCAACTTCAATCTTGATCACTCCCACAAGAGCTAATGAACTATACAAGTATATCAACTATATATGTTATTAGTAGCACTGTCAAAACGGTTTGACAGTTCGGGTTTGGTTCGGTTTGAAATCGGTTCGGTATTAAATCGGGTCGGTTTGAAATCGGTTTAAATGTATCGCGGGTCGGCTTCAGTTCGGTTTAAATAGTTATCGGTTCGATTCGGTTTCGGTTTATTCTTGAGCGGTTTTAATCTGGTTCGGGTTGTAAACGGTTCAGGAAGTAAACGGTTCGGTACAGCCGGGTTGCGGTTTGTTAACGCTTCGGTGTAAACGGTTTTTATACCGGTTCAATTAGTTTCGTTTTGGAAACGGTTTCGAGTTAGAAACGGTTCGATTCTTTTTCGGTTCAGTTTTATTTTGGTTCGGTTTGTTAACGGGTTCGCCTTTTATACGATTTAATGTTATTCGGTTCAGTTCCATTTCACGTTTACTAAATTATGGTTCAGAACGGTTTTTTATTTCAAAAAGTCGGTTTTTAATCGGGTCATTTGGATTCGGGTAGTTAAACAATTTTGGTTTGAAATTTCATAGTACTTGCTAACTAACCTTTTGCTGGTTAACAAGTTTTATGTCAAGGCGAGACTTTATCACTTCATATTTAGGCATTATATTATATACAAATTTTCATCGATTTTAAAAATGCATATCATGTTATTTTCAAGTTTAGTCATACTGATGTTACTAGTTTATTACAAAGTAACGTATATTATAAAAGTTTAGCGTATTAATGAATTATTATTGTTTTACTATCACATTATTAGCTGCTTCTTATTCAATCATCTAATTGATGTGTCATAATCATGATTTGATGAGTTATTGGGAGATCGAAATTACAGTTTGATTTATAGACAGTTCGGTTTATAAACGATTCGGTGCAAACGGGTTGCAGTTTGTTAACGGTTCGGTGTAAACAGTTTTTACCTCGGTTCAAACGGTTTCGGGTTGGAAACGGTTTCGGGTTAGAAACGGTTCGGTTCTTTTTCGGTTCGGTTTGATTTCAGTTCGGTTTGTTAACGGGTTCGGTTCTTATACGGTTTGACATTATTTGGATCGGTTCGATTTCGGTTTTACTTAAATACGGTTCAGGTCGGTTTTCGGTTTTACTAAATCGGTTTTTAATCGGTTCGGTTCTCATTTGGGTCGGTTGGTTTCGGGCAGTTAAACGGTTTCGGTTTAAAATTTGACAACACTAGTTATCAGACAGCTAGTAGGATCTACTTCAATTCCTTTGATCCCTAGATATTGCACCATGGGGGTTTATGTATCCCAAAACATATTCTCAATGTTAAATAATATCTTTCATTATTTAAGAGTAAATTTGATATTATATACCATGAAGAAGTTAACAAATTTACCGGTAATTACATCTTTTTTATTACATATGAATCATAATATATTATTGATAAAGAGTGTGTAAATAGTGTTAAAAATACAAATAATGTAAAGTTAATTAAGAGAGCGGTGATTAGTTTATCAATAGTTGTACACTTGATGCAATAGTAGACAGCTATAACATGTTGAAAGACATGCTTAGACACCAAAAGCTAATGTGGTAGAACTAAAAGGAAGTAAATGGTATGATAAAATATAAGTAGTAGTACGAGACTAGTTGAAGTGAGGGATTTATATAAGCGGCCCATGCTCTGTTGGTAAATGTAGTGTGTGTCCACTTTGATCATTTGCAAGGCATTAAATTATATGATGAAAACCACTACAAATCGCATCTCATCATTGTTTGGCGCCTAGGACTAGCATCGCATATAAATCATTAGAATAAGAGTTCCTAACATTATCTGGACTAACCAACTTGTCAATTCTATTTGTTTTTTCTTAAAGCTACCAGTCAAACTTTGAAGTTGACCTCATATCAAAGGGGTTTTATTTTTCCTTCTATTTTCCTATTATTATCTTTTATTTTTCAAGAAATATCGTGTGGCCGACTGACTACATTAAATCCCTGAGTGGGTAACTCCTGACCGAGTAACCCCCAACTGATCGAGTAATCCATGACTGGACCGATCGAGTAACGCAGCCACGCAGATGCTCTGTGGCTAGTCACATATGAAACTTTATAATCCTGTTTTGATTTTTGCACTATTCACAATTTCACATACATTTTATTTGACTAGTTTTTGTGTTTATACAAGATTATAAATATTGATATAAATTTGTTATAATTGTCTCAATCTATAGTTTACGAATATGAGATTTTTCATAAGTTATACACCCTCTATTTTCGTAAGTTTTACTCACTGTTTTTTACATGATCTCCAATGCACTACATTAACCATTAATATTCCTTTATCATGGAATAGTAAATATTGTAAAAAAAAAAAATTGATCATACCTACATTAAATATGCATAACAATACAAATTGAATAAAGTTTCATTTGATATACTAAAAAAAAAAATTGCAACAAAGCTAAGGGGCATTATTTGTATTGACCTTTGAGGAGTTTTGATGATGATGATGATGAGAAAAGCAAACTTCAACTATTGAGGTTTCTCTAAGTGTTACTACATATGAAGTATATTTAGGGAGTGGAAGAGTAATCTAAGCTATGAAGAATATAAGAAAAGTAAGAGAAAGTAAGAAAGAATAGAAGAAGAGTTCCACAAATTAAGGAACTATAGACTTGTGATAATTAACAAGAACACAGAGAAGAGCCTTCTAACATGATCAGAACAACATGCTAAACTAACCAGTTTAGTCTGCGTTGAAAACAGTAAGTTCTAGAAGAACTTGGATTGCGAGTTCCGGCAA